AACCCCTAATAAAACAAACAACAACAAAAAAAACAATCCCGAGGACTGTTTACTGTCGCCAGTGTGCAAGTGTGGAAGAAATTGCATGTTCCCTTGCTGTGCAGGATTAAAGGGGGGCCCAAAAGCTCAGCAACTCCTAAGGGGGTAGTGCTACACTAGTAATCACATCAGCCAGGCAACTAGCATTTTTGGAAAAAGGTTAACAAATGCAGCCCTTATAATTCTTTCATGGCAGGTTTCCTTTAATTCCCACTTTTGACTCTGGCACCTCATTGTAATTACAGTAAAATCAATATTAATCAGCCACTTCATGTAAATGTTAAAATTGTGTAAATAATGGCCCCAACTATCTGGCAAGTATTCAATTAAAGCAGAATGTCAGGCAAACAGCTAAAAGCAGAGCTGCAGTGCATATTATATGACTTCTTTTAAAGGCCAAAGAATTTGTAATTCTATCTAGCCAGCTTTGTGATCCAGGCACCTCTTCTGGCAGCACAGCTTTGTCCTCAAACCCCTTACACACATAATGTTAAAGGAGCAGCAGCATACACATGAGGTCATCCCTCTGCTCTGCTTTTCTCTTACTGTTTTTGCAGTGTTAGACTAAGGGTGCAATGCAGTGGAGCTTAATTTAATAGCTGTTCAAAGGTTTAAAAAAAATTAAATAGAAAAAAAAGTCAGAGAAAAGTCAGAAGCACTTTAATGCAATGCACTCTTCCACAGTGGTTACAGCTGAACTCTAGGCAAGCCGCTAAATAAACAACTGAACTAAATATACAGTTTATTATACAGAAAGAAAAATCAATATGTACACACCAAAACGGACTTGGAAGACACCCACTTACAATGATATCAAATCAAATGTGTTTTATTTCTATGTCCATTAAAAACTGTTTAGTCATTAAAATAAACCACATGTACACATGCCTCATCCAAAAGGGGTTATGGCGCTCTCCTAGCATTACAAAGCCATATTCCTATGTATATAGTGTAGTAACGGTACACAAATATATACGACTATAGGTTAAACATCTATGGCGGGGGGTGTGACTAGATCAAAACCCACAACTGATTTCTGCTTCTTCAGGAGTTGGATGAGAAGTACAGTAAGTATAAAAACATGTAAAAATGCTGGAATATTAGACACCGCCACTGTTACACTGTCTACGGGGAGGATGCTGGGGGCCATCTGGTATGTGATGGGAAGAAGGCTACCATTGATTGACATTTACTGGGCTGAGACCCTTTACAGATGAGCAGCTGATCACCTAAGGTAGTGCCATTTCTGCAACATTGTATCAACTCTGAATAGCAGAGTTTCTCAACTAGGGTGCCATCTGGCGTCCTCTGGGGTGCCACAAGCATGAGACCTAATTTGCCCTGGATCAACATCCTGAGATGCCATGATTCTGGAGGACCAGCCACACATGGCATCATTCATTGCTATGGTGATGGTAGCTGGCTCACCCACATCATGGTGACACATGACTCTGTTCCAGGGTGCATGCAGGGCCACCCCCAGCAATCAAGAGAAGATGGAAGTCAGCCTCCTCCAGGACTCCTGAACCCTCTACCCTCTTAGTTAGGGCTCTGATGTAAAGAATTGACTATGTCATTGGGGAGCTCTGTGATGGGAGAATTGCACGATGGGTGACTTAGATGTGATGGGGGGGACTCTCTTATGTATCAGGGGCCTCTGATCTGTTGGGGGGGGGATCTCTGATGTGCTGGAGGAACCTCTGATGGTAAAGGAGCTTCTGATGTGAAGTTTGTTTCATCAAGGTAGTTGTGTGCAACCTCCCAGGCTCAGGTTTCCCATGGATAAGAGCATGTGATTTTACTTTTAAAGGGTGCCTGACTGAAGAAAAGTTGAGAAACACTGCTGTGTAGTATTACACTCTCTGCAGTAGCTCATTCATGAAATTGTTGTGGTGGGCACATGAATCTCCATACACTTTGTACACAAAGGTCTTCCTCGTGTTATTTTCTCTTCTGGTCTAATGTTTTTTGCCTATATCATTAGGCTTTTTGTCTATTGGTTGAATGTTGTTTAATGTTCTTAAGGATTTTTCCTCTTAAGATCAAATATTAATGAGAATGTTACATTTGCACTGCGAAAGGCAACAAATAGAAACTGACATTTCACACACATATTACAAACATTATGGGTGTTATTTGTAACTTTTGCACTAATGCTGAAACATTTTCAAAGCAAATATTTTAATACATAGGCCCCTGAGTGTCCAACTGTGTATCTTAGGCTAAAAGGAAACTGTGACCCGCATTCACATACCATTTGTTTGTAAGGGGAACTTGTGACTGGCTGATGATTGGCATCAAATGGTACAAGTCCCTGCCCCTCTTCTCCTTTGATAGGACAACAACCAGTTTGTAGCGCTTATACTTTTTGTGCTTATCTCCTTGCCAGCCTATGACATCCCCGGCAATTAGCCTTTATATTCAAAATAAAGTAGTGTCCACACAAATTATATATTTTCTGCAGCTTTACTGATGTTCTTCACAGGATGGCAGTGACAAATCACATCACATGGACATACTATCCAGGGTTGCTTGACATCACTTTGCCTAACACATATGGTGGATGTAATGTAGCAGTCATCATGTGAAAGCAGTACATTACCCATCACTCTTAAGCAATCTTCCCTTCTCTTTCCCAGGGTTATCAGTACTCACTCTATGCATCCAGCTCACAACTCCATGCATGTCATTCCATAGACAGCACTGCTGCAGCTCTCCTCTAGCTCGGTACACTTCTCCCAGAACCTCCAGGGTAATAGCACTGACAACAGAGAACAACTGGCCTAAAAGGACTTTTGCCACCCACCTAGCCTCCACCAACCATAAAGAGACAGGAAGACTACAGCCAGCTCTTCTGGATGCACAACCATCTCACCCTGACCTCCCTGCCCTATCCAGGACCGCTGCAAAGCTGATTATATCTGCATTCTGTTGGGGTATCTGGCACCCATGCCCCAAATGCACTAGGCTCCTCTCAACCTGTCAACCAGCTAAAACAGCCGGGGAGGAATGTATTGCAATGCGATCTGCATTGCAATACATTCAATGGAGCCCTGCATTTAGACCCTGCATGTCTCATTAAAGCAGGGGTGTCCAAACTTTTTTCAAAGAGGCCAGATTGGATGAAGTGAACATGGTGGAGGGCCGAACATTTTTCCGAACATTCTTTGAACCATTACAATTAAATGCAAATAAATTATTTTATGCCAAGTGCAAACCACATACTTTTCATTTCATAACATTAAGATCAACTGACAGCTGAGTTTTCACAATGTATTGAAAATAAATTTAAAAAAAACTTACCTGCACTAATGTGAAGGGTGAAAAAGGTAGCTGGAGCTAAAGTCTCTGCTCGGCAGCCGGGAGGGGAAGAGAAACACACTTCACGCTGAAAGCCCGGCCCTGACGTCACCGCCCTCTGTCGCTCCCAGCACGGCGCAGTCACGCATGCGCACTGCTCTCAAGCAGAAGACTGTCTGCCACAGAAGGGAGGGCCGTGCGACAGCCGCATTTACACAGACCAGGGAGAACGCGCCGCAGTCAGGCATGCGCACTGCCCTCTGCTCTCAAGCAGAAGACTGTCTGCCACAGAAGGGAGGGCCGTGCGACAGCCGCATTTACACAGACCAGGGAGAACGCGCCGCAGTCAGGCATGCGCACTGCCCTCTGCTCTCAAGCAGAAGACTGTCTGCCACAGAAGGGAGGGCCGTGCGACAGCCGCATTTACACAGACCAGGGAGAACGCGCCGCAGTCAGGCATGTGCACTGCCCTCTGCTCTCAAGCAGAAGACTGTCTGCCATAGAAGGGAGGGCCGTGGGAGGGCCACATTACACAGAGCAGGGAGGGCTGTTGGAGGGCCGTATTAAACCGACCCCCGGGCCGTAAACGGCCCGCGGGCCGGACTTTGGACATGCCTGCATTAAAGAGAAACTGTCACCTAAAAAATCATTACATAGGGGACTTTTAGTCCCCTACGTGATAAAGAAAAATTTAAGCAAAAAAAATTTTTAATTCCAAAAAAATAAAGATACACCCAGGCACATAACTTCCCCCCTACCCCCACATATACGCATGTACGAACCTAACTGCACCCATCGGAGCCACCAATGCATGAAAACATCAATTGCAATACACATGTTGCATATCGCTGGGCATGCCGGGGTGAGAGGAAATAATTCTACCACAAGACCTCCTCTGTAGCACAGAACAGATGACCTGTAGGAAATTTTGAAGTGTTACATACAGAAAATATAGGGTGCTGAAGTTTATCGCCATTTTACGGGCGCACACAAATTTAAGGTTTAGCAAGTTGGGTATCTACTTACTCGGTGCAACCTCATCTTTTATCATTTACCAAACATTTGGATAATTAATTGTGTTTGTTTGCCCTAAAATTCACTTTAGTGTGTTTTTTACTGAAATTTAGCGTCTTAGACCTTTATTGTGTGACACAAAAAATTGATACTACCACTATTTTTTTCTCTAGGGTGTCTGCTTTAAGAAAATGTATAATGTTTGGGGGTTTAGTTAACTTCAGGCCTAAAATTATTTTTTTTAAATGTGTGCTAAAAATGCAAAAAGAGCTCTGACAGCAAAAGGGTTAAAGTTCATATAAAGCCAATTTTTATGTTGTCATTTTTTTAATAAACTAGGGAAAATGTAAAAGCCCTGTCCTTTTTTTTCGGCTTTCTTTGTCTCATTTGGGAGATTTCTCTTCATTTCCTGTCCTGGAGACACTACAGGAAGTAAGTGGAGATCTCTCCTAAATGAGGGAAACCCCCTCATAGACAGCTGTCACTGGACCAAGTGACATTTTTGGAATGGTTTACCCCACCTCTTGTTCTGATGACCCCTGAGAAATGTTGGATTTCCCATCACTTACTGGTGAATATCAGAGACAGGGTGAATTAAAAGGCTTTGACCCTTCATACAAAAGGTAACTTTTCTTTCTCTGCATCCCGCAGATACATTCGGATTCAGATGAAGGTGATGGCTCCATCAAATACACAATTTCCGGAGAGGGTGCTGGATCCATCTTTATCATCGATGAACTCACTGGAGACATCCATGCCACTGAGCGTTTGGATCGGGAGCACAAGACCTTCTACACACATTGCGTGCCCAGGCCAGAGACAGACACACAAATGAATTACTTGAACCAGAGTCTGAATTCATCATTAAAGTTCAGGATATTAATGACAGTGAGCCCCGGTTCCTGCAGGCACCCTACATTGGAAGCGTCCCGGAGCTGTCCCCTGTGGGTAAGTCTTCTTGACAGAGTAAGATGGCCAAGACAAGGTGGGTAGATGTTTTAGAGCTTTGTGTCTTCGCTCTGCACAGGTACGTCTGTGATGGCTGTATCAGCGTGGGATGCTGATGACCCAGCTTATGGTAGCAGTGCAAGAGTGGTGTACAGTGTCCTGGAGGGGGAGAAGCACTTCACTGTGGACAGCAAAACAGGTGAGTCCCATTTGATGGTACCTGTCTGCTACAAGAACCAGTGGCTCTTCATTATGGCCATTAGATGGAGCTGATGGTCAAAGGAAAAAAATACTTATTTTCTATGATCGTCAGCTCCATCTGGTGGCCATAATGAAGTTCTGCAAGTTTCTATAAATATATCCCTGAATATATGGAGATACAAATATCTGTGGCATTCGTAACATGAGAAAACACATGATGTATGGCTCGGTAAAACTGTTATTTGTGTGATTTTATAGTTATACAGTATTTTTAAAGCGGAACTACTGCGTACTCACATTGGCTCCAGCGATGCAGTGTCCCTGATCTCCCCGCCCAGCCGCTGACATCTTTGGGCAGCTGGCTTCCAGGTCTTGATCACCGGCTGGGGATGACATCACTCCCGTACATGGACAAACGTTCAGTCAGTTTTGGAATTGCCAAATTTGTACCGTAAGCTGCATGTACATGGCTCATTGTACAAGGGTGGACAGGCAGCTAAATAACTTTAATGCAGAAGAGTATGTCTATTCTGCAATAAAATTCCTGCTTGTTCACCCATTTTTAATTCAGGCCTCAAGTTCCACTTTACAGAGATCTTGAAAAACGACTTTGTCATTGTAGCAGCCTTGACTTTATTTCAGACTCCATATTGATTTGACAGGTCACTTTAACATTGAGTCAACTAGATCCTACGTTAGCAATACACATAGCACATTTTGGCTGTTTTAGTCACTATCAATCAGCTTTTGATCTTATAAAACAACCAAAAAGATTAATGCAACATAATATAGTTAATGCAATTTAATATAACAGAATATGCAAAAAAGAAATAAAGGCCGCAAAAATTGAAAACGAACAACAGAATGCAAAAGATAGCAGGAGCAACCCCAAAAATTCTTCAAATATATTAATAGTAAAAAGGTTCGGTCTGAGCATGTAGGCCCTTTACAAAATAGTTTAGAGTGGATGACTGGGGACAAAGAAAAGGCAAATTTATTAAATACCTTCTTCAGCTCTGTGTATACAAAGGAGCATGGGGGAGCTCTTGTCTATAATGGGTATGGTAATGACACAGCTCCAGATGATCCACATTGGCTCACAATTGATATGATCCAAAAATATTTAGACAGAATAAAGGTGAATAAAGCACCTGGACTGGATGGCATACACCCACGGGTCCTTAAAGAATTGAGCTCTGTCATTTCCAAGCCATTGTTTTTAGTTTTTAGGGACACTTTAATGCCTGGCATAGTACCACTGGATTGGAATAAGCTAAATGTGGTGCCAATATTTAAAAAGGGGCCAAAATCTTTACCAAGTAATTATAGACCTGTTAGTTTAACTTCTATTGTTGGGAAGATACTGGAGAGTTTAATAAAAGACCACATAGATGAGTTCTTGCTGGAAAAAAATATTTTAAGCAACAGACAGCATGAATTCATGAAAGACAGAATTTTTCAAACAAATCTGATTTCTTTTTATGAGGAGGTTAGCTTTTGCACCTTGGACAGAGGGGTGGCGGTGGACGTGGTATACTTGGACAGAGGGGGTGGCGGTGGACATGGTATACTTGGACAGAGGGGTGGCGGTGGACGTGGTATACTTGGATTTTGCTAAAGCGTTTGACACAGTCCCCACACACAGCAATAATGTGTAAGGTAAAGTCTACAGGCTTGGAAAAATCCGTATGTAAATGGATAGAAAACTGTCTATAAGTTTGTATTCAAAGAGTAGTGATTAATGATTCATACTTTGAATGGTCTAGGGTTGTCATTGGTGTACCCCAAGGTTTAGTGTTGGGACCCTTACTTTTTAATATATTTATAAACGATGTAGGGTCTGGTATTGTAAAAACCATTTCAGTCTTTGCAGATGACAGCAAGCTGTGCAGTGGAATAACGTCCTTACAGGATGTCTCCAACTTACAAGCCAACCTCAATGCACTGTTTAATTGGGCAACTATGTGGCAAATAAGGTTTAATGTTTATAAATGTAAGGTTGTGCACTTGGGGGCTAAGAATATGCATGCATCTTACATACTAGGGGGAGAACAACTGGGGAATCAATGGTGGAGAAGGATCTGGGAGTTCTGGTAGATCACACACTTAATAATGGCATGCAATGCAAAGCTGCAGTGTCTAAAGTGAGTAAAATCCTCTCTTGTATAGATTCCAGAGAGAGAGATATAATTTTAGCCCTGTACAAATCATTAATAAGACCTCATCTGGAATATGCAGTTCACTTGTGGGCACCAATTCACAAAAAGAATATTGGGGAACTGGAGAAAGTACAGAGAAGGGCAGCCAAAGATTAGAGAAACTGAATTTATTCTCTCTTGAGAAGAGGAGATTAAGGGGGGATATGATCACCATGTATAAATACATCAGTGGTTCATATAATGAACTCTGTGTAGAGTTATTCACCCTGAGGTCATCACAGAGGACAAGGGGGCACTCTTTACGTCTAATGGAAAATACATTTAATCTCCAAACACAGTGAGATCTGTGAAAATGTGGAATAGAATCCCTCAAGAGTTGCTTCTGGCCAGCTCAGTGGATTGCTTTAAGATCTGGATTCTTTCTTGGATACACAGAATATAACTGGATACTAACATTTCTAGGTCAAGTTGATCCAGGGAATATCGGGGGATCGGGAAGGAATTTTTTCCCCTGCAGGAGCAAATTGGGTCATGCTTTGTTGGGTTTTTTTTTGCCTTCCTCTGTGGGTGTAGGATTAAATCTTTTTTTTTTTTTTATGGTTGAACTAGATGGACTTTTTTTCAGCCAGAATAACTATATAACTATGTAACCTACCACCAATACTGTCTATTAAAAATGGCAAAACAAATATTGTCTAACTTACTTGATATAGGGGCCCTTAAGTGCATCCTTTAACATAATATTCGTCAAATGTAATACTACAGAGACTGCAGACATGCAAAAGTGGAGGCTACAGGCATGCTACAAGAGATATTCAGAGACTGCAAACATGCTGCAGAAGATGGTCAAAGAATGCACACATGCTACTTGAGATGGTGAAAGACAACAGACTTGCTTTAGGAGGTAATCAAAGACAGCAGACATGCTACAAAAGATGATCAGAAACTGCAGGAGATGGTCACAGGAGATGGTCACCAACCACAGACATGCTGCAGGAGCTGATCAGAGATTGCAAGCATTCTACAGGTGATGGTCAAAGACCACAGACATGCTACAGGAGATGATCAGAGACTGCAAACATGCTAGAGGAGATGCTCAACCACCACAGGCATGCTACAGGAGATAGTGAAAGACCACAGACATGCTACAGGAGATGGTCAACCACCACAGGCATCCTACAAGAGATGGTCAAAGACCACAGACATGCTACAGGGGATGGTCAAAGCCCGCAGACATGCTACAGGAGATGATCAGAGGCTGCGATTGTGCTAGAGGAGATGGTCAAACATCACAGGCACACAACAGGAGATAGTGAAAGACCACAGACATGCTACAGGAGATGGTCAACCACCACAGGCATTCTACAAGAGATGGTCAAAGACCACAGACATGCTACAGGGGATGGTCAAAGACCGCAGACATGCTACAGGAGATGATCAGAGGCTGCGATTGTGCTAGAGGAGATGGTCAACCACCACAGGCACGCTACAGGAGATAGTGAAAGACCACAGACATGCTACAGGAGATGGTCAACCACCACAGGCATCCTACAAGAGATGGTCAAAGACCACAGACAGGCTACAGGAGATGGTCAATGAATACAGACATGCTACAGGGGGTGGTGAAAGACCACATATTTTCTACAGGAGATAGTCAAAGACCACAGACATGCTACAGAAGATGGTCAATGACCACAGACATGCTTGAGGAAATGATCACCGACTGACGACATGCTACTGGAGATGCAGAAACACCACAGACACGCTACAGTAGATAGTCAATGGGCACAAACACACTACAGGAGATGATCAAAGGCCACAGGCATGCTATAGGAAATGCTTAATGACTGCCGACATGCTTCAGACAATGAGAATATTGGACAAATGATTTTCTGCTTTTTTGCATACTAGACTCATATCGAAAATTAATAGGTTACTAAAGTTACAGAAATTCTCATAAGAATACAACTTTGGAAGTGAAGTGATGTAATGTGCTGTATTGTAATGTATTCTTTCATTTCCGAGTATTCACACTCTTGGCCAAAATACTATACAACTTACACAAAAATCGTTTGTTCTGTTATTTTACGAGAAACATTTTCATGCTTTTTCCCTTTGGATATTTTCACATGAACTGTCATGATTGGGTCTCAAAAGCTGTGTACTAACGAATAGATTATCAGACGATCGCTCCGAATGTTTTGTTTTTTTTCTGTCTGATTTTCTCATATCCCCATCGCATCGTACCAGGCAAAAGACTGCAGACATACTACAGGAGATGTCCACCGACTGCAGACATACTACAGGAGATGGCCAACAACTGCTGACATACTACAGGAGACGGCCAACGACTGCTGACATGCTACAGGAGATGTTCAAAGACTGGAGACATGCTACAAGAGATAGTCAAAGACTGCAGACAACCTACAGGAGATATTCAAAGACTGGAGACATGCTACAAGAGATAGTCAAAGACTGCAGACAACCTACAGGAGATATTCAAAGACTGGAGACATGCTACAAGAGATAGTCAAAGACTGCAGACAACCTACAGGAGATATTAAAAGACTGGAGACATGCTACGAGAGATAGTCAAAGACTGCAGACAACCTACAGGAGATATTCAAAGACTGGAGACATGCTACGAGAGATAGTCGAAGACTGCAGACAACCTACAGGAGACGATCGGATATGTATTATCAAACCTGAAATAGAAGTTGCCGGAGACTGGGGACAAGTTTCAGGAGACAGTCATAGGATACACTGAAGATTACATTAGATTGCTAGAGATCATTGCTATTACAGACCTTTTACAAATCAATACTTCATTTGTGCTCCC